CAAATGTGGCTTTCTCATCATTCAACACATTCACAGTGACTTGTTTAGTTTTACCTTGCAGTCCTAGCTCTGCAGCAACGTCTGCATTAATATAGGACCTTGTGCTGGCGTCATCTAGCAAAGCATTAACAGTAACTCTGCGATTCCCATGTTTGAGGATTACTGGCACTGTTCTAAGCCCAATGAATGAAGATTTTGAAGCAACGTTCGATGCCATGTTAGTTGCATGTGATCGTTCTGCTTGTTCTTTTGAACTATTGTCTGTATGTTCTATTTTGTTTAATGGAACTGAAGCTTTTTCAACATCAGCAGTTGAATCAACCCTATCCCTATCCACATGTAGCAGCCTGTTATGGTTGCTTCTGCATCCATTCATGCCACATAATCTTGTTCGCCAACAGTGTTTACCACGATGGTTGCTTCCTAAGCAACGAAAGCAAAGATTTAACTCCTTTGCTTTGTTCCATCTGTCCTGCACTTTTAAAGCTGTGAACTTTCTACAATTCCAAACATCATGTGGCTCTTTGCATACTATGCACAAACTCTTTACTCCAGCATAATGCCCACCAGGTTTCTGGTTACTGTCATGCCCAAGGAATGTACGAGGAGTTCTTTTATGTTCAGATTTTAATGACTTATCACAGACACCATGAATGGTTTCAGCTGCAATTGTTTGAAATTCTGCTTCTTGGAGCACCCATTCTCTCAGAGTTTCAACTGACTCTTGTCTTTGTCTATCAAATACCCAACGTTGATACTCTGTAACCATGGCTTCAGTCATCTTTTTTAGCAACTTCATATAAAGAAGACCATTTCCTAATTCTTCTACTCTGTCAGATTCACGGAGGTTAACTACAGCAACATCCAGCATGTCAGCAAATCTATCTAAATCTTTTGCATGACCTGGGCAAATGGGTTTGAAATTGTCTAACTCTTCAAGATGTAAAGCAATCTGGCGCCTCATGCCACCAAACTTCCTCTCTAATCTCTCAAGAGCTACTTGATAAGCAACTGCATTATGCCCCAAATCCCTAATCACTCTAAGAGCTTCACCTGCTAAATACTGCCGCAATTGCAATAGCTTGTATTCTGGTGTTGCTGGTGAGTTATCAATACATGCAATGAATGCTGCCTTCCAGCTCTGATAAGACCTGACATCACCTGCAAACACTGGAATAGAAACTCTCTGCAGCTACTTCCACATGTCATGTCCAATCGCGCTTTTGTCTGGTTTATTCGAAAGAGAACTGGGTTCAACATGTGACCTACCAACCGTGAACATGTCCTTTGGTTGACCTAATTCATGTTCACTTCTTACAAAAGTCTTTATGGACTCATTCTGAGCCTGTTCAACGTCCTTCCCTTTTTCTCCGGGACATTCTTGTTTCTGACTTTTACCGTGTTCTTGTTTCTGGTTGAACAACATTGACATCCCTGTTCGTAAACTTAGTACAGAGCTAGCATCTGATCTACAGTCTAAGTACTGTTGAGCATGTTGCTGTGCACTTTCAGTCTCATCTTCAAGTCTAGTTATTTCAATGCTAAGTTTTTTAGAATTTGCTACATCATTGTTTTTGGAGTATTCTTCAGACAACATCAGCATTACTTCCATTGCTTGTTCTTGGACAATGCACAACTGATCCATCTGATCTCGAACAGACCTTCGAGTTGGGACATCCTTACCTTCTGTCATATTGTAGAGTTTATTTTTCGCCTTCGTAAATGCAGTCTTTGCACTGGCTTTTTGTTTTTTGAGTTTTAACAAAACCTCTTCCACAGCTGGCTTTGACTCATTACTTTTACCAAAGTCCGACATTATAGTTTCAGATTTTAACATAAGCACAGTGTCTGAGGTTGCTTTTTGAGGTTCAGCCATTTTCTTCCTTACACTATTCCTGTTTGGTAGTATGAACCTAAGTCTTATAAACACATTTGTTTCTAACAACTAACTCACCTGTCTCGCACTGGAACTATTCCTGCATCCAAACTAATCTAACTTGCACCAATAACACCATGATCCACTAACAGGCAGTAACCATGAGTAACAACGAATTAACCACGCTCTGCTACCATTTTTGGTCAGCAGAAATAGAAGAAGTGCAATAGACAGGCAAAGACACTAATTTATTTACGATGGTTTTATTACAGACAAGAATTACTGTTGTACTTCAATTTACATTTACAAAGTTTCTTTTCTTTTCCAAATTTCTATTATTATCCCGATCACTAAATGACTACTCTGTCTAACGATGTTGCCTATCCTAATCCTAATGCCAAACTGAATTACAATGACATGGTTGTCGACACGTGGCACACATGCATGCTTTTTTCATGCTTTTTAGATCTATTTCCGCGAAGTAAAGCAGTGTGTGCGCGAACTGCTTACACACAGGAACGACCTGTTCGGAAACATGGCATACTCACATCTGTGATGACAATGTCCTTATGTCCAACCCCCCATCCCCCAGACACAAGGACAGCTGTCACAAGCGTGCAATGTCTGACCCTTTCCCCATGTTGAAGCAGATTGAAAAAAACTTACCTTGTACTAACTTACCTTTTGTTGAAAAAAACAAAACAACATTGCAAACATAAGACATTAATAAAACATATATCCCTGTGTTATGGGTTTCAGAGGCTGAAGAAACATTCATAGTTTTCTTACTAATCACATGAACAACTGTAAAACATCTCATTTACTTGAAAGCTAAAAGACAACTTTATCTTAAAAAGAAGCGGTCATCAGAGTACTTACAATATCTGTGTGACGCCACACCCAATGTTATAGTGCAAATATTCGTGATAGAAAACACATGATGTCCGAAAACCTATGATGTCCGAGGGCTGTCGGGTAGCCTAGTGGTTAAAGCGTTCGCTCGTCACGCCGAAGACCCGGGTTCGATTCCCGACATGGGTACAATGTGTGAAGCCCATTTCTGGTGACCCCCGCCGTGATATTGCTGGAATATTGCTAAAAGCGGCGTAAAACCATACTCACTCACTCACTCACTATGATGTCCGAAAACCTATGATCCAACAATAATAGTATTGTGTCATGAATAATAATAAAGGCATATATGATGCTGAAAGCTCTGATCAAAAACAGGACAATCTGCAATTGTTGTCCTGAACCACGATAATATTTTTTGGAGTATTTCTTTTAAATCTTTAATTACATCTTTATGCGGAAGATGATTTTTCCTAAGACTACTGTTTTAAAAAAACATGATTTTCCATGTTTCCGCAGAGATTTCACATCCATGAAATTAGCTGGGACTGCCAGTAGCCCTTGTTATGTCATCTATTTATTATGAAGTATTTGATGTATCATCAGTAGACATGGTAGAGGACGTAACATGTAAATGAAACATGTCCCTCGTACAACTGACTACCAGGGGTCACTTGTATGCCTGTCAATGGACTACATATTTATTTCTGCATGTAGCACGGATCCATGAAGATCCGAGTTAGGATAGGCCTTTAGCAACCCATGCTTGTCATAAGAAGTCAGTGGGCTTGGGTGGTCAGGCTCGCTGACTTAGTTGATATGTCACATTGTATCCCAACTGCATGGATCGATGATGATGATTGTCAATCATTGTCATTGTCATTATCATTAACAATCACTGGATTGTATGGTCCAGACTTGATTAGACACAGATAGCCTTCAATATAGATGGAATATTGCTGAGTGCAGTGTTAACAACAAAGAAACAAATCATGTAACAAAGAAAAGTGTTATTTATCAAAATAATAAGACAAAATTAGGTGCAGTTATTGATAATTATACCAATTATCGAATCACATTGAAAAAAAATGGAAACATAAAAAAATAAACCTTTAACATGTTCAAACGAGAGAATTGTGAGAAATTAGAGCTTGATTAGCTGATAATGTACAGTGAATTTCTCCTGTACACATATTTTTCAGAATTGTAAATGGATTTAACAACATATGTGTCATTATTCAGGCATATACATGCACACATGATCATGACATCTGCAAATTTTGCACAGGTTTTTAATCTAATGATTTGATCAGCATTGATGTGTCATGAACAAAATTTAAGCTAGCATAGCGCCCTTAATGAGACTCATGCTAGTAACTTGATGCTTCACACAGTGTATGACATTATGTACCTCAAGAATAAAAGCACACGTAACTTTGAAGTGATTAATTTCCATCTTGCACCTATACTTTGGAATATATTTGGATAATTAATATCTAAGAACATTATTTTAAGTGTATACTCACCATGTTTCAACTTCATATCTGGTCCCTCCATGAAAAGATCCAGGTTAGAATTGGTCTTCAGGTGGTCATGGTCACTAACTTGGTTGGTGCTAATCACTGTATCCCAACTGCTTAGATTGATGCTCATGATGTCAATCACTGGAATGTCTGGTCATGGTCTGAAGTGTCGTGTTCATTCATGTTCTCCCAACTTCTAATATAAATGCCTATCAAAAACTTTGGTTAAATAGTTTACAACATGTTTGAACTTTGTACATATTGTAAGTAAGTTGGTGAGGTAGAGGAGCAAGGAGTCTCAGGGGCTATAGCCAAGTAAAATATCATTTTCTGTAACAACTGCTGGCAGTTAGAGCAAGACAAAATTGGTATTTGACATCTCGTAAGATTGCTTGTTAACACTGTAAAACCAATTTTGCCCATTTAGAATGATGTTTAGATCATGTAGATATCTTATATGAATAGGATGTTACTGGGCCATTGCAGCTGAAACTTGGAATGCTTGTTCCTCCTTATTTTCCTGTTTTCCGTTTTCCATTGTTTGTTTAACCATTACAAATAATGACAACAAACAGGCATGTTGTGAGAGTGAATTAAATGGGGATCTGGTTGTCAACGTGTGGCAACAAATATTGTTGCTCATACTATCAATCACTGGAATTCCTAGTGCAGGCTGCCATGATATAGATGCATTTTTTTCTGTTCTGCTTACCAGATGATGTTAAAAGATTACTACTATGTTATTTCAGATACTAGCTGAGCCCTAGATGTTGCCAGCATGGTCCTGGAAGGGGCGCGAGAGTGGTACCATAACTTTGTGAAGAAGGTGGATGAGAGGTCCAGCTCACAAGTCCTCATCCAAGTGGTTGTTTTGAATGCAATGAAGCCTCGTCGCCTGTCTGCACGGGTTATTTTGCAGGCCAGTGTTTACACAGTTATAATCATTGTGCTTGCCTTTATTCTGCTGTACACGTTTCTTCTTACCTATGTGGACAGACATTTGAAGATGACTCAGGCTCAGGCTCATCTGCCACTAGAGATTCCTCAGAAAAATACTCATAACAATCATAGAGTGAAATTTCAGTCCAAATCCTCAGGAAACTATAGACTACATAATATGGAAGAAGGTGGTGGGAATGAAAATACTCTTCATTTCCATACAGGTAGTATCTCTCACAGAAAAGTGTTGTGGAATTCAACAAATTACTACGATGTGTTCAGTACCCGTCCACAGTGTCACAGGAACACATCACTATTGACAATCATCATCACATCATCACCAGATCACTTGGACCAGAGGAGTCAGATTCGCCAGACATGGTGTAATGCATCAGCAACCAGACATCAGAAGGGGGCATGGCAGTGTGTGTTTCTGATCGGCCAGACATCCCTCTCTTACATTGATTCTGCAGTAGAAGAAGAGGCTGACAACTTCCAGGACATTCTCAGGGGAACATATGTAGATTCATATCGCAATTTGACATTGAAGGTACTTCATGGACTGAACTGGGTTAGCCAGTTATGTCCTACACAGTACACACTAAAGACAGATGATGACTGTTTTGTTAACACACTGCAGATGTATAACTTCCTTCTGCATAGTAATACTATCAAAACAAACCTGTATGTAGGCAATGTTTTTCATAAACTCGAAAAGAGGAAGGTGGTACGGAGCCTAAGCAGCAAGTGGTCCGTTGCCAAGTCTGACTATGCTCCAGACCATTATCCCCCTTATGCCAGTGGGACAGGGTATGTGTTCACTCAGGATGTGGTGGACAAAATTGTTGTGGAGAGTCAGTACATCAAAGCCATTCCTAATGAGGATGCTTACATAGGTATTGTGGTTAATTCGTTGGGCGTGAAACCTACATCAAGCTTCCGTTTTACTCTGTTCAGTGAAGGACTGAGATTGTGTAACTACCTGTATGTATTGGTGGTGCACCGTGTGCAGCCAGAGCAGCAGCACATGTTGCATGCTGGCATGATGCAGGCCCCACAGGCATGTCGGGGGGACACCGGGGATCTTCACTCATGGTCATGACATACAATAAAGTGCAAGGGTAAGTACTAACTCCCTGTCCCTGCAACACCATTCTAACAAATATGGCAATCTGAATTCTACATTTATTATTATATATCTGCTCTCTAAGAAATTAGTAACATGATTAGGGCTTTCAACATGTTCAACACAAGTTGCAGTCTTTTCAACCATGTTTTTCAATGTATTGTTTGCAAACACTTTGTCTTGTAAATCTTTTTGTTACTGTGCTCATATGTTCATTGTATACATACTGACAACCTGGTAATGGACATACTGACTACCTGGTAATTGATATACAACCTGGTAATGGGCATACTGACGACCTGGTAATGGACATGCTAACTACCTGGTAATAGACATGCTAACTACCTGGTAATGAATATACTACCTGGTAATGGATAAACTGACTACCTGGTAATGGACATGCTAACTACCTGGTAATGGGCATACTGATGACCTGGTAATGAATATACTACCTGGTAATGGACATACTATCGACCTGGTAATGGGCATACTGACGACCTGGTAATGGACATGCTAATTACCTGGTAATAGACATGCTAACTACCTGGTAATGAAAATACTACCTGGTAATGGACATACTGACTACCTAGAAATGGACATGCTAACTATCGGGTAATGGACATGCTAACTACCTGGTTATTGGCATACTAACTACCTGGTAATGGATATACTACCTGGTAATGGACATACTATCGACCTGGTAATGGGCATACTGACGACCTGGTAATGGACATGCTAATTACCTGGTAATAGACATGCTAACTACCTGGTAATGAAAATACTACCTGGTAATGGACATACTGACTACCTGGTAATGGACATGCTAACTACCTGGTAATGAATATACTACCTGGTAATGGACATACTGACTACCTGGTAATGGACATACTGACTACCTGGTAATGGACATGGTAACTACCTGGTAATGGACATGCTAACTATCAGGTAATGGACATGCTAACTACCTGGTAATGAATATACTACCTGGTAATGGACATACTGACTACCTGGTAATGGACATACTGACTACCTGGTAATGGACATGCTAACTACCTGGTAATGAATATACTACCTGGTAATGGACATACTAACTACCGGGTAATGGACATACTGACTACCTAGTAATGGACATGCTAACTATCGGGTAATGGACATGCTAACTACCTGGTTATTGGCATACTAACTACCTGGTAATGAATATACTACCTGGTAATGGACATACTGACTACCTGGTAATGGACATGCTAACTACCTGGTAAAGAATATACTACCTGGTAATGGACATACTGACGACCTGGTAATGGACATACTGACTACCTGGTAATGGATATACTACCTGGTAATGGACATACTGACTACCTAGTAATGGACATACTGACTACCTGGTAATGGACGTGCTAACTACCTGGTAATGGACATGCTAACTATCAGGTAATGGACATGCTAACTCCCTGGTAATGAATATACTACCTGGTAAAGGACATACTGACTACCTGGTAATGGACATACTGACTACCTAATAATGGACATGCTAACTACCTGGTAATGAATATACTACCTGGTAATGGACATACTAACTACCGGGTAATGGACATACTGACTACCTAGTAATGGACATGCTAACTATCGGGTAATGGACATGCTAACTACCTGGTTATTGGCATACTAACTACCTGGTAATGGATATACTACCTGGTAATGGACATACTATCGACCTGGTAATGGGCATACTGACGACCTGGTAATGGACATTCTGACTTCCTGGTAATGGGCATACTACCTGGTAATGGACATACTGACGACCTAGTAATGGGCATACTACCTGGGAATGGACATACTGACTACCTGGTAATGGGCATACTGACTACGTGGTAATGGGCATACTATTGACCTGGTAATGGATATACTACCTGGTAATGGATAATCTACCTGGTAATGGATATACTACCTGGTAATGGGCATACTAACTACCTGGTCATGGATATACTAACTACCTGGTAATGGATATACTACCTGGTAATGGATATACTAACTACCTGGTAATGGATATACTAACTACCTGGTAATGGATATACTACCTGGTAATGGACATACTGACTACCTAGTAATGGACATGCTAACTACCGGGTAATGGACATGCTAACTACCTGATAATGGATATACTACCTGGTAATGGACATACTAACTCCCTGGAAATGGACATACTATCGACCTGGTTATGGATAACTATCGACCTGGTAATGGATATACTACCTGGTAATGGACATACTAGCTACCTGGAAATGGACATACTATCGACCTGGTAATGGATAACTATCGACCTGGTAATGGATATACTACCTGGTAATGGATATACTACCTGGTAATGGACATACTAACTACCTGGTAATGGATATACTACCTGGTAATGGACATACTGACTACCTGGTAATGGACATACTGACTACCTAGTAATGGACATACTGACTACCTGGTAATGGGCATACTAACTACCTGGTAATGGATATACTACCTGGTAATGGACATTCCGACTACCTGGTAATGGGCATACTACCTGGTAATGGACATGCTAACTACCTGGTAATGGGCATACTACCTGGTAATGGACATTCTGACTACCTGGTAATGGACATACTGACTACCTGGTAATGGATATACTACCTGGTAATGGACATACTATCGACCTGGTAATGGGCATACTGACGACCTGGTAATGGACATACTAACTACCTGGTAATGGACATACTATCGACCTGGTAATGGACATACTATCGACCTGGTAATGGATATACTACCTGGTAATGGATATACTACCTGGTAATGGGCATACTAACTACCTGGTAATGGATATACTACCTGGTAATGGACATACTGACTACCTAGTAATGGACATGGTGACTACCTAGTAATGGACATGGTGACTACCTAGTAATGGACAGACTGACTACCTGGTAATGGGCATACTAACTACCTGGTAATGGATATACTACCTGGTAATGGACATACTATCGACCTAGTAATGAGCATACTGACTACCTTGTAATGGACATACTACCTTATAATGGACATTCTGACTACCTGGTAATGGGCATACTACCTTGTAATGGACATTCTGACTACCTGGTAATGGGCATACTACCTGGTAATGGACATTCTGACTACCTGGTAATGGACATTCTGACTACCTGGTAATGGACATACTGACTACCTGGTAATGGACATTCTGACTACCTGGTACTGGACATTCTGACTACCTGGTAATGGACATACTGACTACCTGGTAATGGACATACTGACTACCTGGTAATGGACATACTGACTACCTGGTAATGGACATTCTGACTACTTGGTAATGGGCATACTACCTGGTAATGGACATACTGACTACCTGGTAATGGACATTCTGACTACCTGTTAATGGACATTTTACCTGGGAATGGACATTCTGTCTACCTGGTAATGGGCATACTACCTGGGAATGGACATTCTGACTACTTGGTAATGGGCATACTATCTGGGAATGGACATTCTGACTACCTGGTAATGGGCATACTACCTGGGAATGGACATTCTGACTACCTGGTAATGGACATTCTACCTGGGAATGGACATTCTGTCTACCTGGTAATGGGCATACTACCTGGGAATGGACATTCTGACTACTTGGTAATGGGCATACTATCTGGGAATGGACATTCTGACTACTTGGTAATGGGCATACTACCTGGGAATGGACATACTGACTACCTGGTAATGGACATGCTGACTACTTGTACATGTAATGGTTTTTGTTTTTGTTCCAGGATATTTTGCAGAAGGAAGAGTGTTTCGCCTTATACCCGGCATGCTGTTGTTAAGTCTGTGTGATGGTGGCAGCAGTTCTAAAACTCAAAGCCAACATTTGTATTTGCATTATATTATTGGTTTTGTTTACCTCCAGTTTCTATCAATTCTTCATAAAGACAGATTTGCCAAGGCTGAAGTAGTGTCTCTGACTAAAGTTGAAGTCCATAAATATCATTTGTTGATACCATTGTTTGTTTTAAGCAATTTAGTTGTTGAACTTAAAGAAACGTCTTTAGAAATATGTTTGTGAAACATTTTCACACTGAATAATGTCTGACATGTTTTGACATCACTATCTAATCACTAATCACTGCTTACAGTATTTATTACATAATGGTAGCAGGGATGATTCTATCATGGAGCCTTGTGCTTTTAGCCCCTAAATTTGAAAAAAGGCCCACATTTTTCAATACAATAAGCATTTCAACATTGTGCTGTATGCATGGTATGGGCATGTGTGGGTGTACCCTTGGAATATTTGAAATGTTCACATAAAAGGCCCATGTCAGAAAATTGTAAGAGTTAACCCTGTGGTAGGGTATACATTTATTTTGTTAGGTATACAAAGTTTTGTTCATATGTAAAACAAGTTTAGATTTGAACATGCAGATGTATAACCTCATTTGTGTATATGGTTGTTGCTCTAGCACAACGCCAATTGCACATATCCCAATGCAAGTGTATATGTTTGAAAATGCAATGTATGAAATGCAGTTTTTGAGTTTTCTTTTAATATTTCCCATATTTGTCTAGTTCTTTGAAACTATTGGATCGATGTTTTTAGTTTGTTAAAAATGATGTTGCGTTTGAAATGTCTGGATGGGATGAAGTGCCATGAGATTTCTCGTGTGAGATATTGCTGCTGCATGTGCTTGTGTGGTACACCGGTCATGAAGGTGGTGCCATGATTAGTGCATTCTACTTACGACATTCCTCATACTGCCTGAAATGTCCTCTGTATTCATACAGCATTTACTTTAGGAAACATTGTTATGTTGGCCAGCCATTGTTTCATACTGAAGATAGTCAAGGGGTGTACAGGAATTATTTCACAGTCTGTGGGCATACAACAGACACATGTTGTGGGAATTTACTAATTATTAGATTTAGTTCTATTGCCAGTGCTAAGCATGATCGTGTTTCAAATTAAGTCTTAACATGTTTAAGGCCAAGTGAACATGATCATGAAAATGAAAATAATTCAGTGAAGGGTTTGAAAAAAGTTCAAATAAATAGAATGTCTAACTGGCAATAATATGTGGCACCGCTTGCTGTGAGTGGCTGTCGCAGACTGGTCCACGATCATCACTCTCTTTTATCCATGCTACTTCACAAGTTACATTCAGAAATTGTGTAACAAAACTTCTTGAAATGAAACATAAAACATTTAAATTAATCTGGCTTGATCAAGTTCCTGAAGGACAAAGATAAATGTCAAATTGATAGTATGAGAATGCTGGTTATTTTGGTTATAATACCTGTAGATTAACAGACAGTGGAGACATGTAGGACAGCAATGTCCAAGTGTTTTGGTCACTTGAAGCGATCTTAGCGCTGCAATAGTGTAACTCCCATTGTTGAATACAGACTTACGAAAGTTGCTTTGTGTAGGTAGTAGGCACAGATAGGTACTTGTGCAGGATAGGTATCGTGTTTCTTCATGTTTGCATACCCCTACTGCTACCTAGCACTTGCTTCTGATGTCCAAACAGTCTTCACTTCTATTTCATTTGGGTTGATACAACATACACATAAGCATGTTAAGTTAACTTTGTGTTTTGATTTTTTAGTAAGTGAAGTTGAGAGTTTAAGCAACATATAGAAAAACTCAAAACAACTTAATGTTATTTCGCTGAAATACGTGTACCCGGTAAATAAGGAATGTTGATTATGAGAAGCAGTTATTGGTGTTTCTGTACTCTACATTATAATTACTGATATGTTTTGGGTGACAATGTCAAATGCTGCAATGGCAAGCAATTACAACCCTTAGAAAGTATATAGACATGTACACACATGGTTTAGTCTTTGGCAGTTCCTCCAGCCTGTTGCTGTAGTGCACGAATTGGCCACAGACATGGTGAATAACACAACTCATTTATTTTATGTGTTTTGAACACTTATGAAGTTGTTCTTTTCGTTAAAGCTGGTTAGTGTTCATGTTTTGTCAACAGATTTGGTGACAAGAAAAATATTGTCACAAAGGTTATTTACAACTTTTATGCTTTTGTGTGTTGCACTCAACATTCATGGACTTCGTGTCATGATTTTTGTGATCAACATTGATCAGTGACATCAGTTACACTCTTAATCACGACTTACTGCAAGAGATTTGTATGCAGTAAAACTTTAGAACATTTGTGTGTTTGGGCAGACTTTTCTCTGTACAGCTGTACAATAGGCATGTGTTTGCTGTGATAGGCGATTGTGGTACAATGGTTGTTAATGGCAGTATAAACATGCAATTATGGTATATGAGAATTAATTGTAAAATCTGTGGTTGTGAGAATTTTGATCGGTGAACATTTCAGATTCTGAAGGTTGTAATTTAGCATATTGGAGTCAAATTTAATCAATAGTTTTGTTGTATTATAGTGAGTGAGTGAGGTTAAACGCAGCTTTTGGCAATATTCCAGCAATATCACGACGGTGGACACCAGAAATGGACTTCACACATTGTACCCATGTCGGGAATTGAACCCGGGTCTTCGGCGTGACGAGCGAACACTTCAACCACTAAACTACCCGACCGCCCTTGTATTATGGAATGGTACTGATCTAAGTTGGACGTGGATGGGTCTTGAAGGTGAATCTCATAGAGTTTGTGTGAGCGTGCATGCGTGTGTGCGTGCGTTGGTGCATGCGTGTGTGCGTGCGTTGGTGCATGCGATGAAGATGAAGATGAATCGCCCAGAGTCTTTTTGTATGAGAAGAAATTATAGCTGAATCTCTTAGAGTTTGTGTGTATAGGTATTGAAGGTGAATCTCGTAGAGTCTGTATGTGTGGATACTGAAGGTAACTATAGTCTGTCTGTATGTGTGGATACTGAAGGTAACTATAGTCTGTCTGTATGTGTGAATACTGAAGGTAACTATAGTCTGTCTGTGTGGGTGGATACTGAAGGTAACTATAGTCTGTCTGTATGTGTGGATACTGAAGGTAACTAGAGTCTGTCTGTATGTGTGGATATTGAAGGTGACTAGAGTCTGTCTGTATGTGTGGATACTGAAAGGTAACTAGAGTCTGTCTGTGTGGGTGGATATTGAAGGTGACTATAATCTGTCTGTGTGGGTGGATATTGAAGGTACGTGTAACTAGAGTCTGTCTGTATGTGTGGATATTGAAGGTGACTAGAGTCTGTCTGTATGTGTGGATACTGAAGGTAACTTTAGTCTGTCTGTGTGGGTGGATACTGAAGGTAACTATAGTCTGTCTGTATGTGTGGATACTGAAGGTGACTAGAGTCTGTCTGTGTGGGTGGATACTGAAGGTAACTATAGTCTGTCTGTATGTGTGGATACTGAAGGTAACTAGAGTCTGTCTGTATGTGTGGATATTGAAGGTAACTAGAGTCTGTTTGTGTGGGTGGATATTGAAGGTAACTAGAGTCTGTTTGTGTGGGTGGATATTGAAGGTAACTAGAGTCTGTTTGTGTGGGTGGATATTGAAGGTAACTAGAGTCTTTCTGTGTGGGTGGATATTGAAGGTAACTAGAGTCTGTTTGTGTGGGTGGATATTGAAGGTAACTAGAGTCTGTCTGTATGTGTGGATATTGAAGGTAACTAGAGTCTGTTTGTGTGGGTGGATATTGAAGGTAACTAGAGTCTGTTTGTGTGGGTGGATATTGAAGGTAACTAGAGTCTGTTTGTGTGGGTGGATATTGAAGGTAACTAGAGTCTTTCTGTGTGGGTGGATATTGAAGGTAACTAGAGTCTGTTTGTGTGGGTGGATATTGAAGGTAACTAGAGTCTGTTTGTGTGTGTGGATATTGAAGGTGACTATAATCTGTCTGTGTGGGTGGATATTGAAGGTGACTATAGTCTGTCTGTGTGGGTGGATATTGAAGGTAACTAGAGTCTTTCTGTGTGGGTGGATATTGAAGGTAACTAGAGTCTGTCTGTGTGGGTGGATATTGAAGGTACGTGTAACTAGAGTCTGTCTGTGTGGGTGGATATTGAAGGTGACTTTAATCTGTCTGTGTGGGTGGATATTGAAGGTACGTGTAACTATAATCTGTCTGTGTGGGTGGATATTGAAGGTGACTATAGTCTGTTTGTGTGGGTGGATATTGAAGGTACGTGTAACTAGAGTCTGTCTGTGTGGGTGGATATTGAAGGTAACTAGAGTCTGTCTGTGTGGGTGGATATTGAAGGTGACTATTATCTGTTTGTGTGGGTGGATATTGAAGGTAACTAGAGTCTGTCTGTGTGGGTGGATATTGAAGGTAACTATAATCTGTCTGTGTGGGTGGATATTGAAGGTACTTGTAACTAGAGTCTGTCTGTGTGGGTGGATATTGAAGGTGACTATAGTCTGTCTGTGTGGGTGGATATTGAAGGTGACTATAATCTGTCTGTGTGGGTGGATATTGAAGGTACCTGTAACTTGAATCTGTCTGTGTGGGTGGATATTGAAGGTGACTATAGTCTGTTTTTGTGGGTGGATATTGAAGGTACGTGTAACTAGAGTCTGTCTGTGTGGGTGGATATTGAAGGTAACTAGAGTCTGTCTGTGTGGTTGGATATTGAAGGTGACTATAATCTGTCTGTGTGGGTGGATATTGAAGGTAACTAGAGTCTGTCTGTGTGGGTGGATATTGAAGGTAACTATAATCTGTCTGTGTGGGTGGATATTGAAGGTACGTGTAACTAGAGTCTGTCTGTGTGGATGGATATTGAAGGTGACTATAGTCTGTCTGTGTGGGTGGATATTGAAGGTGACTATAATCTGTCTTTGTGGGTGGATATTGAAGGTACGTGTAACTAGAGTCTGTCTGTGTGGGTGGATATTGAAGGTGACTATAATCTGTCTGTGTGGGTGGATATTGAAGGTACGTGTAACTAGAGTCTGTCTGTGTGGGTGGATATTGAAGGTGACTATAGTCTGTCTGTGTGGGTGGATATTGAAGGTGACTAAAATCTGTCTGTGTGGGTGGATATTGAAGGTACGTGTAACTATAATCTGTCTGTTTGGGTGGATATTGAAGGTGACTATAGTCTGTTTGTGTGGGTGGATATTGAAGGTACGTGTAACTAGAGTCTGTCTGTGTGGGTGGATATTGAAAGTGACTATAGTCTGTCTGTGTGGGTGGATATTGAAGGTGACTATAATCTGTCTGTGTGGGTGGATATTGAAGGTACGTGTAACTAGAGTCTGTCTGTGTGAGTGGATATTGAAGGTGACTATAGTCTGTTTGTGTGGGTGGATATTGAAGGTACTTGTAACTAGAGTCTGTCTGTGTGGGTGGATATTGAAGGTAACTAGAGTCTGTTTGTGTGGGTGGATATTGAAGGTGACTATAGTCTGTTTGTGTGGTTGGATATTGAAGGTAACTAGAGTCTGTGTGGGTGGATATTGAAGGTGACTATAGTCTGTCTGTGTGGGTGGATATTGAAGGTGACTATAGTCTGTTTGTGTGGGTGGATATTGAAGGTACGTGTAACTAGAGTCTGTCTGTGTGGGTGGATATTGAAGGTGACTATAATCTGTGCTGGTGGATATTGAAGGTGACTATAGTCTGTCTGTGTGGGTGGATATTGAAGGTGACTATAATCTGTTTGTGTGGGTGGATATTGAAGGTAACTAGAGTCTGTCTGTGTGGTTGGATATTGAAGGTAACTATAATCTGTCTGAGTGGGTGGATATTTAAGGTACGTGTAACTATAGTCTGTCTGTGTGGGTGGATATTGAAGGTAACTATAATCTGGCTGTGTGGGTGGATATTGAAGGTACGTGTAACTAGAGTCTGTCTGTGTGGGTGGATATTGAAGGTGACTATAATCTGTCTGTGTGGGTGGATATTGAAGGTACGTGTAACTATAATCTGTCTGTGTGGGTGGATATTGAAGGTGACTATAGTCTGTTTGTGTGTGTGGATATTGAAGGTACGTGTCACTATAATCTGTCTGTGTGGGTGGATATTGAAGGTACGTGTAACTATAGTCTGTTTGTGTGGGTGGGATATTGAAGGTACGTGTAACTAGAGTCTGTCTGTGTGGGTGGATATTGAAAGTGACTATAGTCTGTCTGTGTGGGTTGATATTGAAAGTGACTATAGTCTATCTGTGTGGGTGGATATTGAAGGTGACTATAATCTGTCTGTGTGGGTAGATATTGAAGGTACGTGTAACTAGAGTCTGTCTGTGTGGGTGGATATTGAAGGTGACTATAGTCTGCTTGTGTGGGTGGATATTGAAGGTACATGTAACTAGAGTCTGTCTGTGTGGGTGGATATTGAAAGTGACTATAGTCTGTCTGTGTGGGTGGATATTGAAGGTGACTATAATCTGTCTGTGTGGGTGGATATTGAAGGTACGTGTAACTAGAGTCTGTCTGTGTGGGTGGATATTGAAGGTGACTATAGTCTGTTTGTGTGGGTGGATATTGAAGGTACGTGTAACTAGAGTCTGTCCGTGTGGGTGGATATTGAAGGTAACTAGAGTCTGTTTGTGTGGGTGGATATTGAAGGTGACTATAGTCTGATTGTGTGGGTGGATATTGAAGGTAACTAGAGTCTGTGTGGGTGGATATTGAAGGTGACTATAGTCTGTCTGTGTGGGTGGATATTGAAGGTGACTAAAATCTGTCTGTGTGGGTGGATATTGAAGGTACGTGTAACTATAATCTGTCTGTTTGGGTGGATATTGAAGGTGACTATAGTCTGTTTGTGTGGGTGGATATTGAAGGTACGTGTAACTAGAGTCTGTCTGTGTGGGTGGATATTGAAAGTGACTATAGTCTGTCTGTGTGGGTGGATATTGAAGGTGACTATAATCTGTCTGTGTGGGTGGATATTGAAGGTAAGTGTAACTAGAGTCTGTCTGTGTGAGTGGATATTGAAGGTGACTATAGTCTGTTTGTGTGGGTGGATATTGAAGGTACTTGTAACTAGAGTCTGTCTGTGTGGGTGGATATTGAAGGTAACTAGAGTCTGTTTGTGTGGGTGGATATTGAAGGTGACTATAGTCTGTTTGTGTGGTTGGATATTGAAGGTAACTAGAGTCTGTGTGGGTGGATATTGAAGGTGACTATAGTCTGTCTGTGTGGGTGGATATTGAAGGTGACTATAGTCTGTTTGTGTGGGTGGATATTGAAGGTACGTGTAACTAGAGTCTGTCTGTGTGGGTGGATATTGAAGGTGACTATAATCTGTGTGGGTGGATATTGAAGGTGACTATAGTCTGTCTGTGTGGGTGGATATTGAAGGTGACTATAGTCTGTTTGTGTGGGTGGATATTGAAGGTATGTGTAACTAGAGTCTGTCTGTGTGGGTGGATATTGAAGGTAACTAGAGTCTGTGTGGGTGGATATTGAAGGTGACTATAATCTGTCTGTGTGGGTGGATATTGAAGGTGACTATAGTCTGTTTGTGTGGGTGGATATTGAAGGTATGTGTAACTAGAGTCTGTCTGTGTGGGTGGATATTGAAGGTAACTAGAGTCTGTGTGGGTGGATATTGAAGGTGACTATAGTCTGTCTGTGTGGGTGGATATTGAAGGTGACTATAGTCTGTCTGTGTGGGTGGATATTGAAGGTGACTATAGTCTGTTTGTGTGGGTGGATATTGAAGGTACGTGTAACTAGAGTCTGTCTGTGTGGGTGGATATTGAAGGTGACTATAATCTGTGCTGGTGGATATTGAAGGTGACTATAGTCTGTCTGTGTGGGTGGATATTGAAGGTGACTATAATCTGTTTGTGTGGGTGGATATTGAAGGTAACTAGAGTCTGTCTGTGTGGTTGGATATTGAAGGTAACTATAATCTGTCTGAGTGGGTGGATATTTAAGGTACGTGTAACTATAGTCTGTCTGTGTGGGTGGATATTGAAGGTAACTATAATCTGGCTGTGTGGGTGGATATTGAAGGTACGTGTAACTAGAGTCTGTCTGTGTGGGTGGATATTGAAGGTGACTATAATCTGTCTGTGTGGGTGGATATTGAAGGTACGTGTAACTATAATCTGTCTGTGTGGGTGGATATTGAAGGTGACTATAGTCTGTTTGTGTGTGTGGATATTGAAGGTACGTGTCACTATA